GAGTATATGATTTTTAAATATTTTCTCCATTCCATAGGCATTCTTTCCAGTTTGCTGTTTCCTCCCATGTGTAGAAGCAGTCTGGTTTAGAACTTGAGATCCTGGACTTCAGGCTGATGTCACGATGGGATGTAACTTACCTGACCTGCTGGCTTTTGCCTCCTCTGCTTGGTGGCCCTGAGCTGCCCTTCTAGGGTTCCCACCATCTCACTGGACAGACAATATCTATATAGCGCTGTATCTACATGGAGAAGTAAAGAGCCCCAGGAGGGCCCCAGCTTTTATCCATCTCTACAAAGGCATCGTTCACATAAGCCCAGCAATATGCTAATGACCAGAGAGTGGTCTTAGTCTGTGCCACTTGAACAGAAGAATTGCTCAGTCATGTTCTCCCTAAATTAATTAGGGCCAGATTCAGAGCAGCGAATGGAAAGGTACAGCTCTATGTGTGAATATATACAGGTCTGTGTGTGATCATACTAAATACATAAACACATATGCATACACAAACACATCCCTATTGGTATTCAGATACCAATCCATGTGCTGTCACATACAGACCCAGGTGTTTTCACTTTTAGACACATACATGAAATTGAATTCAGATATACATATCACTGAATGTATACACACAAGTAGTTATATAGAGATTCACATGAGTCTGGAAACGGATATGAATATATGGTTGGATCCATACTTGTATGTTGTTGGATACCGACCAATAGATGTTTATAAAGAAATTGGCTTTAAGGTTTGTGCTCTAATACATGCCTGCAAAAGACACTAAGTCCTTTCTGACCAACTCACTGAAAATGTGAATCAAATGTAAATAAGACGAGATCGGGCACTTTCAGGGTGGTATGGCCGTATTGGTTTGAAAAGAAAAAAAAAAATTTTAAAAGAAAGTCTTCGTTTTTCAAAATGTAGAGGAAAAAAAGCAAGATTTTTATGCACTCTAACGGAGAAGAATACAAATTTTTATTTTGATGTCGATCCTTCACAATATGTGTCTTATTCTAGATGGGATAACAAAATAATAACATACATCTCTGTCCTCAAAATAAATATGCTGTGTTATAACATGCTAAATGTATATTTTATGGGAAGTTTTCAAAATTTACATAATGAATCTAAAGTTTATAGGGGGAGGGGAAGATCAGGAAGGAGGGAGAGAAAGAAGAGGAGAAACTGCCCCAGAACTGAACATTCTAGATGATGCAAAATTTGATCTACTAAATAGAAAATTTTCAAATTACCTGAAATTAACAACTATATTAAAGGATTATTTCCCCTCTTTGGAGAAAATGGGCTAAGATATGTCCCCATTACAAACAAAAATAAATTCTAGATGGGTTACAAAGTATACTTGGAAAAGTTATTGGAAAAAAAACAAGACAAAAACCACTACAATATTGTAAAGTAATTAGCCTCCAACTAATAAAAATAAATGAAAAAAAAAGATGTTGAAATGTTTAAAGTCACTGGAAGGAAACAGAATTTTCCAAAATCAATGTGATAGAAAAAAATTTAAAAAGTAGAATATTAAATTAATAGCTTAATTTTAAAATATTCATAGCTAGAACATGAGTAACATAATAGAGTATTCTAGCAAATTTCAAAGAGTAAATATTTCAAGGAAATATACATATTTAATGTAGAAATTTAGTCAAAGTTTATCAGTAGAAATTCTCACTCCAAAAGATCAAGAATGCAAGTAATTGATGAAGTGTATAGAGTGAATTGGGAGGATCCCCTTGAGAAGGGAATGGCAACCCACTACAGTGTTCTTGCCTGGAGAATTCCGTGGGCCAAGGAGACTGGTAGGCTACAGTCCATGGGGTTGCAGAGTCAGATGTGACTGAGTGATTAACACACATATAAAGTGGATATTATGTATCATACTTTGTGAGAGGAACAGAGAATGAGTAAGTTTCCTTGACTTCGGGGAACTTATAGATCAATAAACATAGATAGTTAATAAAGATATTTATCTCATAGCTTGAAATAAATACACAAATATGAAAATTACTTAACATCTCTCTTAACTCATTTGTATTACAATTGCATGACACCATAGACCAGAAGGAGTAAATAATAAACATTTTTCACAGGTTTGGTGGCTAGGAAATCCAAGATTAAGGTGTAGATAGACTCCATATCCAGTGGGTTCCCAACCTCATTCACAGACAGCCATCTTTTTCCTGTGTCGTCACACGGCAGAAGGGTTGAGAGAATTCTCTAATGTCTCTTCATAACAATTTCATAACCTAGTCATTACGCAAAGGGCGCACCTCCAAATACTCCCACATTAAATAGGATTTAACTTATACTTTCAGAAAGGGACAAAAACTTTAAGTCTATGGCAACATCCAAAAGTGAAGAAATAAATTACATATGTTTGAAAGAATCTTTTGATGAAGGTGAAAGAGGAAAGTGAAAAAGCTGGCTTAAAGCTCAACATTCAAAAAAAAGAAAGAAAGAAAAATCATGACATTCTGTTACATCACTTCAAGGCAAATAAATGGGGAAACAGTGACAGAGTTTATTTTCTTGGGCTCCAAAATCACTGCAAACAATGACTGTAGTCATGAAATTAAAAGACACTTGCTCCTTGAAAGAATAGCTATGACAAACATAGACGGCACATTGAAAAGCTGATTTATTACTCTGCTGATAACGCTCTGTATAATCAAAGCTATGATTTTTATAGTAGTCATGTACAGACATGAGAGTTGGACCATAAAGAAGGGTGAGCACCAAAGAATTGATGCTTTCAAACTGTAGTGTCGGAGAAGACTCCTGAGAGTCCCTTGGACTGCAAGGAGATCCAACCAGTCCATCTGAAAGGAAATAAGTCCTCAATATTCATTGGAAGGACTAAAGCTGAAGCTGAAACCCCTACTTTGGCCACCCGATGTGAAAAACTGACTCATTGGAAAAGAACCTGATGCTGGGAAAGATTGAAGGCAGGAGGAGAAGGGATGACAGAGGACGAGATGGTTGGATGGCATCACCGACTCGATGGACATAAATTTGAGCAAGCTCTGGGAGTTAGTGATGGACAGGGTGGCCTGGCATGCTGTGGTCCATAGAGTTGCAAAGAATTGGACACGGTTTAGTGACTGAACAATAACAAGAAACCCAAATACTTGATTTTATTTGGTCAGTAGCATTGTTTTGTGAAGACTTTGAGATAAAATAAACTCCATGTAAATGGGATAAAAATCAGGATACGAGGTTGCTTATACACTGATTTACAGTGAAGCACACACTTCACTGTATCGTTGCTGCTGCTGCTTCTAAGTCGCTTCGGCCGTGTCCAACCCAGTGCAACCCCATAGACGGCAGCCCACCAGGCTCCCCCATCCCTGGGATTCTCCAGGCAAAAACACTAGAGTGGGTTGCCATTTCCTTCTCCAATGCGTGAAAGTGAAAAGTGAAAGTGAAGTCGCTCAGTCGTGTCCAACTCTTCGTGACCCCGTGGACTGCAGCCCATCAGTCTCCTCCATCCATGGGATTTTCCAGGCAAGAGTCCTGGAGTGGGACTTCTCTGGCACTGTATCGTTAGGTCCTCATAAATCTAGGTTGAATAAAGGAGGCAGAATAATAAGGTTCTTTGATCACATGCTTCTGACCATACTCAGTTCAGTTCAGTTCAGTCGCTCAGTCGTGTCCAACTCTTTGCGACCCCATGAATCGCAGCACCCCAGGCCTCCCTGTCCATCACCAACTCCTGGAGTTTACTCAAACCCATGTCCATCAAGTCGGTGATGCCATCCAGCCATCTCATCCTCTGTCATCCCCTTCTCCTCCTGCCCCCAATCCCTCCCAGCATCAGGGTCTTTTCCAATGAGTGGACTCTTCGCATGAGGTGGCCAAAGTATTGGAGTACACACTAGAGGCAGATAATATTTTCTTTCAAGCCTGATTCAGAGAAGGATTTTATAAATGCTGTTTCTGTCAAATAAAACAATATACTCTGGCTTCTTTATTACTTAGTAATCTGTGTTTCATCAATAAGAGTGATAAGAATGACATATCTTGTCAGCATCTTTCTTAACAGTGGTATCACCCAAAATATCTGGTGTCAAATTCTGTAGTGCATATATGAAAGTCATGGATCATAGAATATGATAAATTTACACGTGGAAGGCTGAGCCTGAATCTCGAAGGTTATGGAACCACCATATGCAAAAAAGGAAAAGAGAATATTGGGGGGAAAAATCAGAGTTTTTTTTTTCCAGGTATTTTAAACTATCTGGGAAAGTGAGTGGCTCATTTTCAAGAAAATGTAACTCCAAACAAAGATGTTAAACTTGAGGAAATAATATGACTACCCAACTGAAAAATAAGTAAGATTTGGTTATTTTTCGGCATAAAACAGTTCCTTCAGGTTATTTTTACGAACATAGCATCCTTATTAATACTACAACTCTGAAACATTCCCTAATCTTACCATGCTAAGCAAAAGAAAAATAATATATATAAAGTATCTTGCAGATACTTGTGTGTGGTGGGACAAACCAAAATTTTCTGTCATATATTTAAAAATTTTTTTTTCTGAAATCTATAATGAGCTCTATTAATTCTGAAAAAGATTGTATTATTTAAGAGAGAAAAATGAGAAAATATTCCTCTGATTAAATAAATTTACAGTATTAGTTTTAGTTTAACTCATCATATAGAACATATAGCTGTAATCTCAATAAAGATATTTATACACCAAAAGTATACATATTTTCCACAAGAAATTGTGGAAATCATAAAAATGTATTTCAAACTAAATATATAATTTGAACTAAGATAATATGAAAGCATTATATATATATATATGTATATATATTATGAACACTGGACCTATTTAAATAAAAAATCTTTTTCATCACAACCAAGTTATTCAATCTAAGGAGACATTTACTACAGTTAAAAAAAATCACAAGTGACTTTCTTGGGAAAGAGCATTTATTCAAGAAAAAGAATTGATACATTCCCTTGCTGCCTCATTTTCTTTTTCTGATCCATAGCTTTTTCATGGCATTTTGCATCTCTCCATTTCTCAGTGTATAGATCAGAGGGTTCAACATAGGGGTGACGATGGTGTAAAACACTGCCAAGTATTTGTCAATGGGTAAAGTGGAAGGAGGTCTCACATACAGAAAAATACAGGGCACGAAGAAGAGGGCCACCACAGTGATGTGGGAGCCACAGGCGGACAAGGCTTTGCGTCTCCCTTCCTGACAAAGACCCTTCAGGGAGCGCAGGATGACCCCGTAGGAGAGGAGCAAGAGCGTGAAGAGGACCACGCAGATTACCCCGTCATTGGCCAGCACCGTGAGGGCAATAATGTGGGTGTCAGCGCATGCGAGTTTTAACAAGGGGTACATGTCACAGACGAAGTGGTCAGTGACATTGGGGCCACAGAAGGGAAGGTTGTAAACAAAGAGAATATGAACTAGAGCGTGTACAAACCCACCAACCCAGGGCAACAGCAGCAGTAGAACACACACTCGCCGATTCATGGTTGTCAAATAATGCAAGGGTTTGCAGATGGCCACGTAGCGGTCATAGGCCATGACCACCAGGAGTAAAATCTCAGCACCACCAAATAAGTGCTCTGTAACAAGTTGGGTCATGCAAGCTCGAAATGAAATGGTTTTCTTCTCATAGAGTAAGTCTGCAATCATATTTGGGGTGACCGTAGTAGAATAAATAGCATCCATAAATGATAAGTAGCCAAGAAAGGAGTACATAGGGACATCGAGGGTTGCACTGAACACCACAGTCAGGGCAACGAGTAGGTTGCCGACCACTGTCGCAGTGTAGGTGAGCAAGAGCACGACTAATAGTATTTCCTGACCCTGGACACTCTGAGTGAGCCCCAGGAGGACAAACTCAGTTACATTGTTCCTTTCTTCCATAGGTGCTTCTAAATGTTCTTTCAGAGCTCAGTCAAAATTACCTGCAAATATAAGTAGTATTAATATGACTGACTTCTTCACATCTTAAGATAATTTGTTCAATCATTGAACAAATAAGCAATCTGGTTTATTATGTTCCGGTATTTTTCAGATATTATAATACAAGGCATATCAAAATGTTGTCCCTAAACTCGGCACTCTTACAGACTAACGGGAAGGCAAGTAATTAGCGACATATGTGGGAAAAGGACTCAATATTAAAGAAATGAGTTGCCACAACTAGCTTTCCTTCTGGAAGTTAATTAAATTGTACATAAGATAATATCTTATACAAAAATAAAAATTGATTGAAGGTTTAATAAAAAGGTAAAGCAAGATTTACTTCAGATTTATTTTCCAGTTTTTAAAAAAGAAAGTTACTTTCTACACTATAGGAGTGGAACAATCTTCTTAACCAATCACTAAATCCCCAAATGGACATATTTGACAATTTCAAATTATTTAAAGAATTTAGGAAATGCTACCAAAACACAAATAGACAAAGTTAGCTTGAAGAAAGATTTACATGTTAGAGGATATACACAGAGTTAGTATCTAAAATTGAAAAAGATCTCCAAGCAATTAAATAATAAAAAATAAAATTATAAAATAAATTAAAATATTAACTAACAATTAAAGAAATAATACCCCTGAAAGACCAATAAACATATAATATGATGCTGAAGCTCACCTGTAAACAGAAAATCAGTTCTTGAAGTCACAATTTTCTTACCACAGTATTTGCTTGAGTTTTTGAAAATTAAATCAGTCAAGGTCTGCAGGTGCTACCTCATTTTTTGGTATTTTCTAACAGATTAGCAGGCTGTGCTTAGAGAACTTATAAATTGAAACTATGATCAGATTTACAAATATCTGCTCATGAAAATATCCTCAAATCATTACTCTTGAGAATAATTTCTAAGTATACTTTATCTTTGAGTAGGATAACTTATTCCAGATTATTAGGATATGAAATTATCCAAAAGGAATACTATAGAGTAGTCAATCTTCACATGCTAAATAATCACAAAGGATTCCTAACATGGTTGATTAAGAAAATTACAAAGGAAAACGTCAAAGATTAATTCTCATCCCATCAAGTGCTCTTGCAAAATGTAAAATCTCATTCAGGATTTTGTCTCTAAATACACTTCTTGGGTCACCTGCATAAGGAGAGCTCCATTCAGTCCATGTTCTGGGCTCTGGTACCTTCTTTCTTGTCCTCCATGCACTGATGTCTTCTTTGGGAACATGGGAAGAAAGATATAGGCAGCATCACTAGACCTTGAACGGTCCCATGTGACCAACTCTCAATGCTTTCAGGAAAACTGATTCATCTCAATCATTCATCTCAATTCATTTCCAATTGCTAGGATTTTCAAAATGAATATGAATGCCCTTTACCTAAGGAACTCTGAATCTTGACTGTGAAAAGAGAATACAAATTTTCACTGTTGGCAGGATTTATCCTGATAACAAACAAATGGTAAATCAACATTTTAATCAGAGAGAGAGAAAGAAAACAAATTGTATAAGAATTTGCTGTTTGTGTTTTATAACAATGGAAGTAAAATTGTGAAATAACCTTTGTGACATTTTGATTCTGAATCACTTATCCTGTCCTATCTTCATGCAGTGTTGATGAACTTTGTGTTTCCTGAAGGATGGAGAATAATTTCACATATATACATTATCATGTTTTGAGTCCATCATTTCAATTTGAGAAGAAACCTCTCATGAAATTACTGCTACAGACACCTCAAGTCAGGGCAAAGGACTGTACATACTTCATCTACCTTTAAGTTCAGCAGATACAATGGATAAAACATTCCATTGGTGCATCTCCATGGATGAGTCTCAGCTAATTAAATTCATTGGGACCTTAATCATAATTTTGCAGGTAGCCTCCTTATCTCCAGAGATGTCACCAGAATAATCACTGTTAGCATGACTTATAGATACCTGTCCTCTGGGGGAAAACCATAGGAAACAGCTTGAGGTCATATCACCAAAATGCAAAAGTTCAGTCTGGGCAGAAATGAAATTTATAATAAATTTCCTATTTAAATCCTGTCCTTCAAATAAGCAAATATTTTTTAATTTTAAGCTTTATCTTTGAAGATGATACCCAAATTGATTTCCAAATGTTATGAATATCAATTTCAGAACAAGTCATTTAATGTTTATTTCAAATGCAGATAAAGGTTGTCACATAATTTCAGACAGGCAAGTTGATAGAATCTGTGCAAGTATCAGAGTGGGGAAAGAGAAACTGTCCGTGGGACTAGTCCATTCATCTCAGAACGCTCATGGGACATTCACCAAAGTGGTCTCCAGTGGTCTCCAACCTTTTCGGCACCAGCCTGGCACCAGGGACCGGTTTCATGGAAGACAGTTTTTCCATAGACTGTTGGTGGAAGGCAGGGGAAAGGATGGTTTCTGGGTGATTGAAGTGCATGACATCTGTTGCACTCCTGTGAGCATCTGATGCTACCACTGAGCTGACAGGAGGTGGGGCTCAAGTAGTCATGTCAGTGACGGGCCAATTTCTGCTCACCCGCCTGCCACTCACCTCCTGCCGTGAGGCCCGGTTTCTAGCAAGCCATGGACTGGGGGGTGAGGGCCTCGACTCCAGGCGATGACACAAGTTGCAATACATTTTCAGGGACTTAAATCATACATTATATATATACACATATGTTTGTGTGTGTGTGTATACATATATATACACACACATACATGGCATCCCAGCTATGGCTAGTGGTAAAGAATCCACCTACCAATGTAAGAGATGTAAGAGATCTGAATTTGATCCTTGAGTCTGGAAGATCTCCTGGAGGGAGAAATGGCAACCAGCCCCAGTATACTTGCCTGGAAAATTGCATGGGCAGAGGAGCCTGGAAGGCTACAGTTCAGGGTAGCAAAAGAGTTGGAAAAGCTGGGCATCTGCACCTACAGTTGCATATATATATATATATATATATATATATATATATGCCACCAGGGGATCCCCATATACATATCACAATAATGTAACTCAACTAAAAATTGAGAACAAAAACATAACGTTTTCCAACTGTTTACAATTAAGCAACAAGAGCCTAAAATTACCAGTGAACATTTTCAAAGAAATATTGTCAACAGAAAGATAATGATACATATGTAAATAATAGCTATATGAAATAAATGTATAAAAAGTGTAACTATCAAAAGTGCCTATGAAAATTATTTATATAAAAACTTACACATATAAATATATATAAAGGACTATATAATAGAATACAATGTAACATATATAAACAAGTGCTCGGGGCTGGTACACTGGGATGACCCAGGGGAATGGGATGGGGACGGAGGTGCGAGGGGAGTTCGGGATGGGGAACACATGTAAATCCATGGCTGATTCATGTCAATGTATGGCAAAAACCACTAAAATACTGTAAAGTGATTAGCCTCCAACTAAGAAAAATAAATGGAAAAAAATAAAATATAAGGGACTATTTTAAAATAAAAAAAAATTAATCAGATGCAGCTCAAAGAGTGCTTATAGAGAGAATTTTGTAGCTTTAAATGTGGATATTAGAAAGCAATAAATAAGGGGTAAAATAAGCTTCTGTCTCAAGATGCTAAAAAAGAAAATTTAATATAAACCCAGAGAACATTGTAGTAGAGAAACAGCATTGAGAAAACAAACATCATTAAAAGAGTAATTGATATAAATAAATAATCCATTTAAACCCACTGGCTCTTGATAACCAAATGAAGCAGGGGCTTACAGAGGGCCATATTATGGTTATAGGTCATAAGCAATAGAAGGGAGATCTCTGGTTCACCAAAAAAAAGTAAAATACTATGTCATGCAAATATCAAAGGATCTGATATATTCCCCAAGGCCAAGTCTGAATTAAATCTGATTGAAACAAAAGATAAATAAATTAGGTCTAAAAAATGATAAGCTAGTAAAACAAAAAAGAATATTTCAGCAAATTCAGGGTCTTACTGACAGTTATGGTCATGGCAATGCGCAGGTTGCCCACCACTGTCAAAATATAGAAGAGCCAGGCAAAACTAAAAGGATTTTCTGCCCTTTTGAGTTCTATGTGAGGCCCAGAAGATGAAATCAGTTACATTGTTCCTCTAGTCTGCACAGGAGTTGAGTTCACAGAATCAGTTAAGTTACAAAACAAGGGAAAAAAGTTTTAAATGGATTATAAATTAATCTTTTTATTTTTACATTCAATTAAAACATTGTGTATGGAGTTCCAATATGTGTCCAAAGGGGCACAGACATCGTGATGACCAAGTTTAAAAAGGCCTAGTTCCCTGCCCTCAGTGATATGATACACAAAGATGCATCAGACAATTCCAGACCAATGGAAGAAATGCTGTGATAAAAATATGGACAAAATGCTAAGGATTACAGAGTAGGAATATATCTACCAAACTGGAACAGGAGACATCATCCCTGAAAAAGCAGTGTTTTCGTTGCCAATTA